CAGAGGTGTATTACACTGCCATTTAAAACTTTTCATTCAATAAAAATGATAAACAGCACTCTTTCATAAAATATACTCAAATAAATTTAAACCTTACGTGGTCGCTTTCACCGCTTGACTTGACATCTGTTGTGCGGAGGAAGGAATATGAGTTGGTGGGTTTTCGAATTTTATTTGTTTAGAAAACTGAACAGGGTGGTTTAAATCAAACGAAGAAGCGAATACAAACTCCAACCGGCCATAGACTGTCTAAAAACTGACCATAAAGCCGCACCTTTTGATGAGAAAAACTGCTTTGAAGTTCGGAAGTTCACGAGGACGTGAAACAGGTCTTTTTCAAGTCGTCGACGACAAGACGACGACGGAATTCTTGGTTCGCGCTTGCGCAGTGACGTAATTGCTACTTCCGGTCGTCGTCCTCCGTTCGTCGTCGTGGTTGCTTAAGCTCCGTACACTATAAGAATTTTCAGTCTCAAGAATATTGAGAAGAGCTTTTTGTTGTGGTTTGTTTGTTCATTTGTATGTATGTTTGTTTGTTTGTTTGTTTGTTTGTTTTTTCAAGGATTTCTCTAAACAGTTTTTCAGTGTTTATGTATCATTCGGGCCATCTGTACAGTGTACAGTACAAGAGAATGTGGGGACAAACAACACTTCCGGTTTGCGGCAAAGACAACATCTACCAAATCACGTGACTGACCTGCTCGAGCCGAACGAGGGGACTTGGCATTACCTTCGTGAAATCATCAGTCCGATGAAGTCTAAAGAATCCTTTATTTTCGTTCTTTCAGCTTGGCTCTGAACTTGTGAAGTTCAATTAACCAAGTTGCCGGTGTACAAAGGCTGTTACTGAGTTTCACTAAACACGAAAATTCGGAATTGTTGTGTGGAGAGGAAATGGGAACACGATAGTTGAATACAGAGGGTAAGCTCCCAAAGAAACTGTAATGCTGCGTCGGTGGGGGTACCAAGGTAACTTGGATTATCAACTAAGTTGATCATGTAAATTGGACACTGTAAAGAGTTAGAAGCTGACGTTCCGAGCGTTAGCCCTTCGTCAGAGCTCTTTAAGCTCTTTCAAATACAATTGCTATGACACTGTACAGCACTTTGAATCCTAGACTTTCACATGAAGTTGAAATCACCCACTTAAACTCTTAGCTTAATTGCCTCACAGCTTCAGTTTCTAGATTGTTGAGAGGAGCACTTTTTGTTTTTCTTTTAAAATTAAACAATGTTTCGATACTTTGCTTTGCCTGATAATTGTTAAAATGTTTTCGTTGTTCATTGTAATTGAATCATTCCTATAGTGTCTAACCCTTGTATGATATTTATTTTATTTTGATTTACCCCTTTTTGATTTTAATTCTAACTATGGACTTGAAAGTACGTCACAGTTTAGTAAATTACAGTGTTATTTCTAGTGCCTGCAACCTTTTTATTACTTAAACTTGAGCTACTCTGATCCTCTATTCTTTCTGTTTTTATCTAATTTCTAACTCAGGGTCTAGAATTGAATCTTTTACTTGGGTGTTCATTATCAATTGAACAGTTTTGATTATATTATTGCCAAATAAAGCAATAATTTACTTGCTTGGATATCTCAGTGATTCCTAACATTTTCCCCTTCCGTTGAAATATGAAAAGGTTTATTTGAAATACTAATTAATTATACTTTTTTATAGTTAATTAGATCTTTAACATTTTTTAACTTTGATAAACAAAGTCCCTTGAAGACCATCAGATTGTGAAAGATATTTCCTGTAATATAAATGTTGTTACTTAGTAATCTGTGAACACTAGAATCAGTTAAATAAATCATCCCTAATAATAATATATCAATATATTTTATTGGTTTTTCCTCATATCATATCTAGTGGGTCTTGACCAGATTTGTTTGCTTCTTAATTTACAGATGTATTCTGTAATATTTTGAGTTCCAGTTCAGTTTCATAATCCATCAGCTGCAAGCTTTATGACATCCAACTGTACTGACAAAACAATTACTTTTCCCACAGCTGATTGAATTACCATTGCTGTCCACCAGAATAATCACCACCCAATAGATTAGTGTGAACACAATCAGTCACACATCTACTGGTTAGTGGTTGATCTGGGAGATGGTATTATTGATTCAATCCAGCAACAAGTACCTGAGAGTTTAATACAAGATGCTGTTATCATCTCACTGGGGAAGCAACTGGAAAGGTAAGTGTTTATCTTACATTTACTGACATCAATGTACTTTACATGTAATAAAAAAAGCAAACAAACAAATGTACTGGCAATTGATCCCCAAAATGTTGTATTTAATGTACATGTATTAGTTACTGCCAGTCTGCAACAGACTTTATTAGCAGCAGCTTCTCAATTAAGTGATAAACACTAGGACTGATTTTAGCTCCCCTTATGGATGATATTATACATGACTTGTGTATTTAGATACACCTGTATGTGGTAATTACTTGAAGTCTTTGCTTAGTGGCAGCCGACCAAGTGAACAAGTACTAATGTACGCATGTGTATAGAGTGTCTGTTTCTTTATGACCAGATTATCCTTGTCTTTGTTAAGGTTCTCTCTTGGCATCTATTCAGCATTACAAGTTGTTTTCTGTCACAATTTTACAAAGCCTATTTGTCATCAGCTCTTTTTACAGGTCATCAGCTCTTTCACTCACTCCCTCCTGCCCTTTAATTATCTCATTAAAATGCCTTTAAAATTCTTCTGATGCACTGAAAATTATATCTTTCCATCTCTTTACATTAATTACACAGCACTACTCATGCAGTTTAAGGTAACTCGTCAACTTTGGCCAAGTAACCTTTCTTTTTCATTTTGGCAAGCATCTTCTTTAAATCATTATGCAGTGCTGAAGGTATAGTCCTTGGCATATACAGTTCTCAAGTTCCACCCTCATCAGCTCAATTTTGCAATAAATGTACCCAAGTCCAGTGTATAAAACACTATATCTAGCTGACAGAACTGCATCTTTCAACATTACCTATTTTCATTGGAGACTGAGTATACCTACATCTCTTTCTTAACTGTTTTGAACTTCAATTGCTCATTCATTTTTCTTCACAAAAGGTAACTGGGTGCATCATCAACTTCTAAGAATTTGGCACTGGTACTGTTTTGTCCCATCTAAACATCTGGGTATATGTAGATTTGACCTTTAGGAGCCATAAGTTTTCTGTTGTAATCCTTCAAGTGACTACAGACTGAAAATAAATAATAATAATAATAATAATAATAATAATAATAATAATAAGAATTTCAACATATTTATACAGGATTGCTGCTTCAGTTTAGGAAAGAAAACTGCTATCAATGCAGGTCCTGCATTGGACTTATATAGTTGCATAACACATCAATTAAATAGGTAGTATGTTATTCTAGAGGCTATGAATTATTGTGTCCAGGCTTAAATATAGTAAATTTAAACCACTGATAATACTTTGCATAATTCTACGTTATATCCTTTTTTTTCTTTTTTTCTCAGGAGGTTATTCATGATGTCAGAAACTGCAAGGACTGAAGAAGGTAGTTCAAAGAACATTCGTGGTGACCCACCTAAGATCAATATTGCTCTTCCTGAGAAAAGTGAAGTAACCCAGAATTATAAATGTTGGAAGGATGTTCAACTCCCAATTGACATTTTGTTGCTAACAGTGGAGGACTGTGAGTTCATAAGTTGCTACTATTACATTGTTGATCCATTCACAAGCTATTGTTACGAGCTTGGTCAAGTATACTTTGGCAGCATTGGTAAAGATCACGATGTTAAAATGAAAGTTGCTTTGATGATATGCCCAGGGGGTTTTAAAGCTCCTGGTAGTTCTTTGACTGTTGTAAAAAATGCTGTCACTCAGCTGAGACCAAAGGCTGTGTTTTCTGTGGGGCACTGTAGTGGTATGAATCAGGAAACAACAAAGCTGGGGGATGTGGTTCTATCAGAAAAGCTCACAACCTATTCCTATCAGAGGTTTACAAAGGATGGCACAGAGTTTTGTGGGGTCACAGTTCCTGTCAGCAGAGACATTGATAACATCATCAGATATGTAGGATATGGTTGGAATCCACCCCTAAAATATCCTAAAGAAAGGAAAGTTGAAGTCCACTGTGGTGAGGTTTTGAGTGGCTCTGAGCTTGTGCAAGTTGAGTGGCGACGAAATGAACTTGTGGAGTCATTTCCTGGAGCAATTGCAATTGAAACAGAAGGAGAGGGTAAGGTATCATTATCCGTAGCTGTAGGTAATAGAAAAATCTGTTCAAAGAGATGTAGATGGATTTTTATCCTGGGAGACAGAATTGATCATGACACTCTAATGATTTATGACAGTTTTCATGTTGATTAAGTTTTCCTATTGGTGACAAGAGATTAACTCTGGCTTGATTGTTAGCATACTGGACTTCAAGAGGTCTGGGGTCAATATCTACATGTAGCTAAAGTCATAATGTGTTATAATCTTGGTTGGAGGCTTTACTCTCATATTTTGTCTCTATTGAAGATTATAGATGGCTACTGATCAAATGACTAGTATCCATATATGCAGTGAGGGAGTAAAAATACAGTTGAGTGCCCTAATGTATGGGACCCAAGAGAAGCTCGTCCTAGAGGAACTTGCTCTGCAGCAAGACAGGGGTCAAATACTGTGAATGCATACAGTTTTATAAACAACATGGCAGACTTTCAAAGGGTGTTGCAATTGATGAAGAAGCAATGCCTATAGCTGTTTCTCAGATCTGTTCTACCTTGTTAAGTAATCTGTTATGTGAAACTGAAGTAGCAAGTGCCAAATTTCAACCTTGTCTTTCAGTTAATGGTGCCAACCATTTTGTTTTAAAGTTGTAGTTGTCAGGGAAGTTATAGTTTCTTTGGAGAAACAGATAATTTAACATTGAAAGTGTAGATCTGTCATAGTGATGGCAGTTCCAGATGATAAATAGTATATTGATAAGAAATCGAAATTGGGACTCATAATCACCAAGCTTTCTAGATCTGAATACTTATAGGAAAAAGACCGTGACTAATGGAAGTACCTCCCCCTAAGATATGCAGAAGGCCGATGTACCCTGTTTCTTTACACAGATTTTTCTTTTACACATGTCTTTTGAAATGAAGAGGCTTTTTGTGACCTGCTTCTATGAAAGATACCTTGTGAGTCTGAGATTCTGACAACTTTTAGAGACTAATATTCTAAATATTTGAAGTGTAAAATTTGTATCATTAACTCTACCTTTTAATTCAATATATTTCCTTAAAAAATATTTTTCCTTCTTAACCCTTTTCCAAACAAATGCAAATAATTGAGAATTAAAAAGCAGTGACTGACCAGGTTAACATCATGTGATCCAAAATGGGACAACAAAATCTAAGAGCAAGAAAGGTCTATGAAGGGAAAATTTTGTTGAAAAATAGGCAATGATGTGGAGTAGTGCTTAACTGTTCTTTGCTCTTGCAATTGCATTCTTTCCTTGGAAGTCCCATCTATAATTTGATGAGGAATTCAGGAGGATGTCAAATACTCCATAAGTATGCTCGGCGATAAAGTTTCTCATCAGAGTGGAGCTGTATAAGGCCTGGGACGTTGTTCCTATTCATAATACTCATAGAGGGCTGACTGAAACTGTAGTATCAGTTCTCCAAATGATTTTTCTGAATAGCATAACTAGAAAATGGTGGGATTTTTTAAATGAGAATTATGATGACTTGGCATGACAAGTTTCCAAATTGCAGTTAGTATAGGAAATAAGGAATATATAAGACCAAAAATCAAAAGGAAGAGAATCTAGAGTAGGTCCGCATGTATGATTTCAAATGCCACTTCCCCTTTTGAAAACAGAAAAAAAAAAAAAAGATAGGCAATTTAACTTGATGAGAAAAAATTCCATAATGACTACAATTTCTCTGTGGTAATAATAATAATAATAATAGTAATAATAATGTTACCAATAATAATGACAATGATAATGATAATATTAATGAAATACAAACAAACAACCAAAGCACTGTTACCTTTAGAAATTTGGTTTTTGGAGAAAGCCTTGTCTCAGGTTACATCTTTGGACTGAAGAGATTCATGCTGCAATATTTTTAGTGTGTTAATACATGCGCGACTAAGGAAATAGGTAACAGGCAACAAGCAATCTTACTTTTACATTCTCAAAGGTAGATGTAACAATACCACAAATGTACCTCTCTTTTTGCTGGTGCTTTGTATTGTTCTGAGACTCTGTTTTAAAGGATACTTTCTCCAGTTTTGCGGCAATTAGTGCACCACTTCATTCCTGGCTGATAACAATCTGATCATTGTTTTTCTGCCAAGGTTATCCACCACTTGATAAAGTCGTTACGGTAGGCGGAGTTAAGAAGATGTTTGAGTTAATTTGGGTGTCACAAGGGGGAATTTGGTTGTCAGCTTTATTGGCTTCGTTTCGGTGGCAAAGGCAAATTACCGAACCTTTTTCCACCCCTGCAGCTCTTGCCAGTCAACCATCTACATTAAACATGGAGCTTCCATTGTCGCACGTGTCTTTTTAGGCTCTAGTTCCTCTTGATTTTGCACATTTCTCTCGTTTCCTAGCAACTCTGCCACTAACATAACACAGAACAGCTACAGTTGCGACTTCGTCATGCTGGAGAAAAATATAAGAAAAAGTATGAAAGTGTAAACTAACACACTACAGGAAAACTATAGAACAACAACTTCTGTAAGTTTTAGCCCTAGGAAATTTGAACTTTCCTAAGAAACTGAGAAAGACCAAGTTGCGCTCGGGTTTTTGATAAAAAAAGTCTTGTTTACATTGACAAATTAGCCACCAGGCTTTGATCTGAGTGCATGTGCGCAGACATTTGACCCCTGTGTTCTCTGCAGCTAATATATGTAAGGTTAATTTTCAATGATATGTCTACAGTTTCTTACAAATCTTTGACAACAAAGGTAACAAATTGGTGAAAGTTAAAATCTATGGATGTTGGAGCAAAGTTGTTGTTTTGTTCATCGAAGCTTGTTATTTCATGTCTCAGGAATTTACAGTGCAGCGCGTGGTCTTAAAATGGAATGGGTTGTTGTCAAGGGTATTTCAGGTTATGCAGATGGGACTGAAACAAAAGAAAGCTGGAAAACATTTGCAAGTGTAACAGCAGCTTCTCTTGTTGTCGACATTCTAAATAAACGCAGTATTTTTGAACGTTGGCAACATTACAAAGGTAGACAGATCAGCTTTAACTTTTTTCAGGTTCTACAGTAACTGTAGATTGATTTTGCATGCATTCACTACTTGATCTTTTATGTTGTTTAGTTTTGTTAAGTAAGTTTGCTGGAACCGAATTACCAAAGCCTTCACCTAAACTGAATTGAATGGTCATGCGCTGATCAATCAGAACAGTTATTGGATGAGAAATTTTATATGTTTGTCAATGATTTGCACTTGCTTCGTTTATGAATGTTGTGCTTAGCTAGCAAAAGTTGTGGAACTAAATAATGACGTTTACCTCGACTCAACATACAGTAGCTTTAAACTATGTGCAGGTTTTGAATCCTCTCAATATTGATAGTGGGATGTTTTCAAATTGTTTGAAAGAATTTGTCCCTCTGGGAAAGGAGACCTCGGACCTCTCATGATACACCTAGTAATTCCAGCCGTAAACTCTCCCACCCAACCCCACCCTAATGATACAAACCACATGCAACCCACATTCCTCTATGCAGTCGTATGAAGGTGCTCACACTCGAAACGTCACTTTTAGAAACTCTTTAAGGTGACTAATTTACATTATCAATTCAGGTGATAAAGCCAAATTATCAATGCTACCTAAACAAAAGAAGTCTTATGGTAAGTAAATCACTTGAGCCACCCTCATTGTCAACAAAGTTCCAGTTCCGTCGAGACTTTCGTGAGCAGTCTCTTTAACCCATTTATAGCACGATGCTGCTTGTAAAGTCTGCAGGTAAAAATGTTCAATTTTTAAGCAGGGATGGGAAGGATCACACGCATGTCATAAATTCCTCATCTGTTTGAGCATAGGACTTAAGTAAGGACAGGACACAAATTATGGTATTTTAAACTATATTTTATGCCATGTTCTGTCCCAAACCTTATGAGGCTGTCTAACTGCTGTCTGTTTGGTTTTCTGTTCTTGAAGATAATTCAACTGAGAGACGACATTCACTACTGGGTGAAAGAGTTTGGGTTGAGCCATCCTGGTCTAGTGCCCATTCTTTCCATCTGCAACATGCTTCGTCTGGCAAAACACCAGGTATATTCGAAAGGAACAGTCTTTTTAGCCCAATTATTGCTTAGACTGCAGTTTTAGAATTCAACGTTTAAAAATGATTTTAAAGTTAGGCAGATATTGTGTAACTTCTATACCGACATTGTTTTGGGGAAAGAGCTTTGCAGTTAAATTTACTACTCAGTTAGTAAATCACTTGAGCCACCGTCGTTGTCTTCAAATTTCCAGTATGCCCATTGAGACTTTCCTTTTTTTCTCAGTCTTTTTGTTTCTTTGCTAACACAACTGTGTACCGATGATGACTTTCGGAGAGTGTCATATTAGAAACAGTACATGAAATAACTTGGGGTCATATTGGATTCATGAGTGAGAAAGGAAAAAAAGATGTTTTAATTTTGCAAAATTAAGGGAGCATCAAAGGCTTTTTCTCGTGATGTAGGTGCTGCCGCTTTGGTAACCCAGTACGGTGATGCAATCAACACTTCTGACTTTGTTCCAAATGTACAAGGAGCGTGGGGCCTGTCTGTACAAACCAAATGTTCTGAAACTAAACAAACCTGCGAGAAGCAATATCATGAGCTTATGACCTTACGACTGTCCGAAATACTGCCTTGTGATAATAATGGAATGCGTGCGTATCACAACTCGGCACTGCAGGAAACTGAAAAGCTTTTCTTGGGGGAGGTGATCGGCATTACAACAAACACTGTCGAGAAGCAACTAAGGCAACTTAAGGTGACCTCCTCAGCTATAGCTATAACTAAGATGCAGGTTTAAGACGTATGTATAATCGGCTTGTATGGCTCAGTTATCCGAGGTAATACTAAGGGAGGGATGGTGGGGTGGTGGTCAATATCAATGGTCTCTTCTCGGGTATCGGGTTCACTAAGCAATGTCCTCGCTAAAGAAATATTTTAATTCAAAGGTCACCTAAAACTTGCTGCTGTGACTTCACGTAAGGATAATGTATGCTTACTCTGCTGAGCCATCTTGTTATGCCAATAGTGAATTCATTTTAGGAGTCTTTTAAGTAACAACGATAATCCTTCGCATTTTGTTGTGTTTTAGGGGGGCTTGCTTAAGTGGTGTCCATTTTCCACCTTTGAACTGAAGTTTTTAATGGTTTTGTGTTTTTTCTTTTTTCTTTTTCAGATGTCTGTAAGGCGACAGTTGAAGGAGTGGCAGGCTAAGAATTCAGAAGTTACGAAAAAAGGTTGCGAAAAACTTCTGTCAGAATTAAAAGCAAAACACTTAGATCCAGTTATTGAACAACTGCAAGGAAGAGATGGTTCGAAATTAGCATTTGATGACATCCTGGGAGTTTACAGACGTATCAAAAATGACTACGATGCAAAAGCAAAGGGTGCTGAAGATGCCATTGCTGCTGCGTTCGCCGACTTTCATCCTGTAAGAAAACATTAGTTATTTCCAATTATTCGGTTGTTGATACAGAATGATTTCTAAATATGGATAAAAGCAATTTCGTACAGAAGAAAGAGCCAATAGAAGAGCCGAATGGAGATTTACTGTCCAGATTGGATAGTTTAACACATCTTTTTCCTCCGAGCATTGAAGATTATTCATTTTTGTTAAATTCTGGCTAGTGATCAGCCATCAAATTCTGCCTCACCGCAAGGCCACTTTAAAAAAAATGGGCCCAACGAAATTAGTAATCAGCAGGTAGCGTAGACTATAGGTGGTGTGCGCCCTGGGAAACTTTCGTTTAGAGCTCATTTCCAGATGATTTCCCCGCGAGTGAGGATGGCATGAATTCCTGGCATTTATGTTATTATGAGTACTTTATAAGTGTATTTTAGGGAGTTCAAAAGGGAAACTTTCTTTGGCCTCTTCAAAAAGAAAAACTGCTGCTGTATACTTTTCTTGCTGGCTACACAAGGCTTTGACAATAAGTATCCAGCAAACTGCAGCTGGTCGATCCGAAAGGTATAAGTGTTGCGAATGCATGCAGATAATTTGATTCACCAATTAAACTACATTTAGGGGTTTCTTAACCCCGTTTGCTTTTTTATCTTCGGTTTTTTAACTGCAAGTGTTAAATTGATTTATTGCGATTTGAAAATGACAACAGCTATCTCGGCATTCTATACCGCAATATTGGAAATATGTGAAAATAATGTGCCTCGGTCGTAGGCCGCACTCCACCTGCATGGATCCCATGTTAGAAAACGGCGGTTCCAAGTAATTTTCAAACTGTTTTGGACCTGTTCAGTCCGCTAAGTCGTTCTTCGACGTTGGAGCGGTTTATAGCTTCCGGCTGGGAACCGAAGTTTTTAGAGGATGTGTGAATGTTAATCAAAATTCTCTTGATAATCTATTTACCCTCTTATAGAAAATAGCAGCGGAAATCAAGCAATACTCGGGTATCTTAAGGAAACTGAAAGATTTTGACGAACGAGCAGCGAGAGACAAAGCAGCCGAAGCTTACGTGGAGAGGGAAAGGAGACGACTTGAGGTAAGCGAGTGCGATCATCGTGGTATTATTACAGAAAGGTATGTTGAGATTAGCGATGGAAAAAACAAAGGCCAGATCAGAATGGACATTAATGCAATAGAAATGTAAGGCAATTTAATTAAGTTTTAACTTTGTGTATGCTATTGTTCTTGTTTAGGAAGAGCAGATGCGCTTGGAGCAAGAAAACCGCGAACGAGAAAACGAGGTAAACTGTCTTTTTAATGTTGTTATAATATATCATTATTATGCGCTGACATTATGAATACGTTGTTTTTTGTGGACGGAGAGAACATTAACCTTTATTGAATGTATTGCAAAGCGCACAAGAACTGAGTTTCATGGTAGTGCGGCTTCACTGTTCCCCTCTTTAGAATTTGGACAATAATTATTGAAATGCATTTAGTTTTTCTCCAAGAATAAAGTCATTGATCAGCATTGCATAGGTGGGGACTGGTAGCCAACAAATGAACGAGGGTGAAGTTTTTACCTGTACTTTAATCTTTGGTACACTTACCATCATCCTTTTTTCTTTTTGCTAAGATGGTAATGCTGATCACCAGATTAGGAGAGGAAAGAGCTGGAATGCTAGAGAAAATGAGTAATGAGATTAAACTAGAAAAAGAACAATTGCAGACAATGGGGGATGCGGGCTTAGCAGATGCCAAGCTAAAACGAAAAGCTTTCATTGAAGCGAACCGTGCCCTAGAAGTACGGTTACTGCAAATTCAAAAGAAAAACGAGGAACATATGAAAATGATGCAAAGGTTTTCAGAAATGATCGCAAAACACCAAAGGGAAAAAAGAGAGCTTCGAACAACTGAGCAACTGAAAGAACTTCCTCAAGAAGAGGTCGAAGAGTCCTTGAAGGAGCTGAGACGAAGGCAATCAGAAGAGAAAAATGAACTCCTGAGGAAGATGGATATTTGTCTGGATCTCAACATTTCAAGACTAAAACCTTCTTATTCCATCGAGACGAAATATAACGGATGTGATAAAAAACTGGAGGAAGTTCCTCAGATGATGACCTCGAGGACTCAAATGGTTAACGATCTAAGGACAAGGATTGAAGAGAACGAAAAGGAACAAGAGTCTCTCGTAAGGATGGTCCTTCGTGGTACTGGTCCAGCGGCCCTGTATCCTCCATCGTCGCCTTATGCTGGAGAAGTCGTCGACAGTATCGCTGTTTTTGCTGAAGCTTCGTCGAATATTGACTGCGTTGTCATGTAAAGAACACTGCAGTTGTTTCCGGACATGAAAAGCGTAAATGTCTTCAACTTCCAATAAAAAATATTTGTAATAATCGTACTAATCACCACTTAAGGATACGGTACACGTTCGCAGGCCAAATTTGGCCAATTTTTTTTTCCACCTCCAAAAAAGCATCTTTATTTTAACTACAGTTTCCAAAAAAATTACTTTTGCTGAGCAGCGAGCGTAGCGAACGAGCAGCATCATAAACAGGATTGGAAAAGAATATAGGGGATGCGAATTCACGAATTCATCACTTTTTACCAGAATGCATTGCAGCTTTTAACCAGAGTGCACCATATCACGATTGTTGTGTTTAGTGTCTTGCGTTACTTGATCACTGGATGAAGGACAGTTGAATTAGAGCCATCAAAGGAGTCACTTGATCAATGAACAACTTTACCTTGCATAAGTTGACACGCTGGTAAGCTGGAAAGCAAAAGGCAGTTGACCAATGGTGTTCATAGGGCCGGTGCGACTCCTGCCATTCGCTAGCGCTTTTAAATCTTTTACCCTCAAAATTAAGCTCTTATTAAGATGTCTTTTAATGACTTTCCTTTGCGATGTCAGTTTTGAGATGTCATTTCCCCATCTGTTTGTTATTGAGGTTTCTGTCATTGTTAGCGCTACTTTCTCCGTTTTTAGCTTATTTTCTTTCCCGTAGAAATTAACTTGAGAGATACGTTACTCAATGTAAGTGTTGGATCACGCAGGTAGATGAATCATTGCGTAAATTAAGTCACTATCCACAGAATGTGCCGTGGCATTACTATCTTTTAGGGACACTAGTTAAATATTGAAATGCATAAGAGTTATTGGCAAAAACGCTTTTTCGAACTGAATTCCTTCAGCCGCCAAAGTGTGAAAAGCCAATTATAATGTGACAACACTAAAGACTCCCTTTATGTGTTTCGCGCCTATATCAAACTCTTTCCCCAGCGCAACAAACATGGAACCGAGAAAAGGTGTACGCGACCACTTACCACACGTATTGGCGGACAGGCCAAAGAGATAATTAAAAAAAACAAAGCGATTTTGCATTGAATACTCAACACACACCCCGTTAGAAAGGCGAATCCTCAGAAGAGGGATACAAAACTGTGTGATATTGAGATCAGGGAGGTTGAAAATTCATTACGCTGGCTATTGCACATGCTTCTATGAATGGAGACCCTTCGGGTCGATGGAGAATCTGGATATTTTCCGTTTCTTCGCAGCCTTTCATTCCACCCGAAAACTCTTTAGAGGATAGAAAAGAATCGTTCCATGGCCAACTTGCACATGAAATAAAGAAAACGCTTTGGTCTGGACAGCGAGAGGACCCTGATAAAACAATAGACCTTAATGTTAACCAAGATGTTTTCATGGAAGGTCTTGGGAGTGTTTTGCCCGGCTTTTCTTCAAAGAGGGAAGATGGTTTACCAGTTGGAGTCAAATAGGGTGCTTGATTCATATCTGGGGCTGAAGCTGGATGAAAGAATTTTAAATCTAGCTGGAGATTTTTCCTATGTAGTACCAGGAACTGTTGGCTTTGAAATAGTGTACATTAGTAAACTGAAACGAAAAATTGATCAGGGAAGTTTACGAAAAAATCCAGCAAACAAGCTTAAAAAAGGCATTTATTTAGACTTCATACTAGCGACGAACTTCACAAATCTTACTTGATTATCTCGTAAGTAAACGATGGCAGATTAACTCCTGAGGCGCTTTCTGAGTTTCCCGATCCCTTTCCTACTGCTTTCACGCCTACAAAACATGAAAAAATCAAAAGGAGGAAGATGCAGCTGTTTTGAAACACCATTTGACGAGGGTAAATCTGCTATTTATTCGACACTTTTACATACCAAAACAAAGAGAATTTGTTCCTCTTTTTTTATTCTGGCGGTACATTTTCAATTCGCGCCCGCGTAAAAGAGATATCGCCCGAGACCCTTCGCTCGGTCGTGTTTTGATTTGTAGGAAGGAAATAAAAAAAAACAGAAAGAAGGGAAACTGAAATGGAAAGCAACTTAATTGTTTGGTCTGTAGATTGACTTCTTCTTGTAATCTTTTTTTTTTGTTTAAATGAATCATAGAACTCATGAAGGTCACAAGGCAATGTTGTTGTACAAAGTGTTTTCACCACATAGCTAGCGAGTGAGTGAGAATGACGTCAGTGATCGAACACCACAAGATGAAAGGCCAACAACTTTATTTTAAATACAAAGTACAGTAGTTCTTTCCTTTGGTAATAACAATTTAAGATAATCTATGAGTGTAGATCTATCTGCTAACAGCAAATGGAAGTGTATTTTTTTTCCAAGATAGAGCTCTTTTCAGTTTCAACATGTGGAAATATATATCCCTGTAACTTGAAATATAATTGAACATTTGCCACAATATTCCTTAACCAAACAACTTGATCTTTTATGAAAACTAACTTAACAAAACTACTTAGTCCTCTGTGGAAAATAACCTAACATAATAACTTGATCTGCTCTGGAAACTAACTTAACATGAGAACTTGATCTTTTTTGAAAACTAACTTAACCAAAAATCTTGATTCCCTAGGAATCTTGTGAGAGTATATTGGAACAAAATTTGTTCAAAATTGACTTTATAGGAAGACATACCTTTTTACAGGGACTGAGCTATTCTTTTTGCAGTTTTGTCTGCATTCATATCTTGCTTCCCTGCTTTCAGTAACAACAATTTTAAATCATCTATGGGCATATCTGCTAAAGGAACGGGAGGGGGAAGGGGGTATTTAACTACGATAGCTTTCCAGTGCATCACTAAAACGTGTAACTGTGCGAACCCTTGTCAGTTTTAATAAGGACATGACATACAAGTTTGGTGTTTAACAGTGGTGACAACGAAGTAACCTTACAGTGTGGACATACTATGGTTTCTTCCTTAGTAAGGTCATCTGGAAGGGAGTGATGGCAGACACGGCATGACAAGTTTGTTTCTATCCCGACACACTGTCCTTTGAGGTAGTATATTCTTCCTAGTCAGAGAACAGTCTCTTGGTATGCTTTCTTGTTCCAACTATTTTGAGGAGGAAACTTCTTTTCAAAAGCTTGTTGTACTGTTGGTCTCTGTCTTGGAGAGTAGCACACCAAACGAACACTTTCTTTTTCACTAGTTTGTAGACTACAATCAAAGAAATTTGTTTGCGATTTTGTTGCAGTTTTGATGGGACTCAGCTGATGAAGATACCCTTCGAGGGCTATAAAATAAAAAATAAGCTAAAATTAGTTGAAAATTAAAAGAAACTGTGTTTAAATAACATCCAGTTATGAGATAGATGAGAAGCACTGTTGATCTGATAAGTTTATGAGAGCTGTCATTGTTCAGTATGCCATAGGGAAGTACAAAACTTGGATCAGACTTCACTGGATCACCTAATTTTGGTTAAATGAACTCAGGTCAACTATAATTTGAACTGAATAAAATTGTGTTTTGTTACAGGTAGTGCATACTCAGAGCTCTTAAGCCTCAGACATTGAGCATGAGACTTTAAATGGATGCAATCTTACACTCTCATATTAAACAATATTATTTCTAATGCATTCCAGTCTTTTGATTATACAGTACAAGTTTATTTGAGTAGAAAACTGTGAGCAAAGTGTACCAACGTAACCTATGATAATCGGAAAAACTAAATGATTCTCAATGTTTTTTTAGCACTTTGATACAGTATAAGTGCCTTACTTAGAGAATCGTCTACCTTACTGTGCTGATATTAGCCCAATATGAGGAAAAACAAGGGATCTAAATAGCCATTTTGAATGGAGCATAATAATAGCTCAGAAGTGTAAAATGCATGTCGAAGGTGCACAATTGTTTTTTGCTTAAGGTCAAATGCCACGCGAAAACTCACAATATGATTGGCTACTATATTAACCGCCTCTCGGTTAGCTCAATGGATAGAGCACTGGACTGTTGTGCCGGAGGTCGAGGGTTCGAGCCCCGGCCGGACCAACACTCAAGGTCTTAAAATAATTGAGAAGAATATGCTGCCTTTCTATAACATAAAGAAATGGTTAGATATTCTAGTCTTCTCGGATAGGGACGAATAAATGGAGGTCCCGTCTCCTGCAGGGTTAGGGGTAGGAGACGTTAATTTCCCACGCGCGAGATTACTGTGTGATGGATATCCTCCCCTGGGGTGGGATGGGTGGGTTGCTGTCTTACGGCTCGGGCAATGTGGGTAACAATGCCCCACGTAAGGACAATAAACTTAAACTTAACTTAACTTACTCCGAGGCACTCTATCGATTAGTAGACAATTTTGGTGTCATTGAACAAATCATGACTGTTGAAAATGTTCATGAAATAGTATAATAAAATCAAGAGAAAATTGAAGATGGTAAAATAATAAGACAGCTTGTCAGTTAAACTATATATACCGCATCACCTGGGCCTAGAAAAACAAAATGGTGGCTCAACCAGACCAGAGAAGCAGAGCAAGGGAAAATTTAACATTCACAAAATTGATGCAAAGAATTGGTAAAACTATCATTGAAATTTTAGGTAATTGATCAGAGTTGATCCGATGACGACTTCAAGTAAGTGATATAGTTTAGTCTACTAGTCCAAATTGATCTGGTCTGACGGATTTACAATGTTTATATATCCCTTCCCGCTATACTGTACATAGTACTTATTGCATGGGAAGTCATCTTTTCTGGTGTCGCTGAAACGAAAAAAAAAAAGAGAGAAATAATGTAAATAGGTTTTTTATATTCAACAAAACTTGTGTTCCAAAGGAAACATGACGTGCGAATTTGTACGAATTAAAGAAATAATAAGAAAAAGAGCCAATAACAGAGACTTACTTTGATTGTGATGATGATGCCTGAGCCATTGTTCTGTAAAGCAATTTAACAGTACAATTTCAATCATCAATATTCAAAAGTTTGCCACCTTAGTTTAAAAAAGTACTCTATTTTAAATAAAATATTTCTTAGCACACCAAGACAGTTTCTACCATTTTTATCCAACTACACTTCGTAGAGTACAAATAACGCCATAGACGAGTACAAAGATTACGCGGTATTTACACTCTAGTACCAGTTAAACAGGTTTTCTTGCATCGCGCAAGCGAGGAATTCAGAATTGGATTGTAGCTACGAAAAAAATTAATAAATAAATAAATGGCGCACACTTTGAATCATATTTCCGACGACGAAGAGTCAGAATGGCTGGCAAATACAGATCCAAGTTTATTAGATGAATCGAACGAAGAAAAACTGCTAGACGACCAGGAAATTTCTTCATTTATTGAAGAAAATAGAAACAGCGACACGACAACGCGCCCGTTCCGCTTCGCATGCTTCTGTCACGCACTCCCCGTAATATCTGCGAGATTTGCCCGCACTGAATTAACGGTCTGGCGTGTTGGATAATAAATAACTTATTAGACGTTTTATTGTGTAGTATCGCAGAGTATTTTTACTCGTTATTTGTATTTTGACCTGCCCCATGGGCCTGTCAAAATACGGCACAAATCGTAAAAATACTCAGCGATGCTACACAACAAAACGTCTAATAAGATTTATTACCCAACTGCACTTCTCGCAGTACAAATAACGCCATAGACGAGTACAAATATCACGCGGTATTTGTACTGTAGAGTACCGTTTGAACAGGTTTTCTCGCATCGCGCAAGCGAAGAATTGAATTATAGTCGCAAAAAAAAATGGCGGACAATTTGAATCATATTTCCGACGAAGAAGAGTCAGAATGGCTGGCAAATATACATCCAATATTATTAGATGAATAGAACGAAGAAAAACAGCTAGACGACCTTGAAATTTCTTCTTTTATTGAAGAAAAAAGTAACAGCAACACGACAACGCGCCAATTCCATTCCGCTTCGCATACTTCTGTCATGCACTCCCCGTAAATAAATATCCCCGAAATTCGCCCGCACTGACATAACAGTTTGGTGTGTTGGATAAATATATCTTATTAGACGTTTTGTTACGTAGTATCGCTGAGTATTTTTACGAGTTGTGCCGTATTTTGACGAGCCCTTAGGGCGAGTCAAATACAAATAACGAGTGACATGAGGAAGGTTCAAGAATCTAAGTACAGTGATCTCAACACCATTTGTGTTATGACTATATGGATAGCCTGGGTAGTAATCAACACGACTATACACTGCTGTTCCTCCAAAAGGCCTCATACCACAAGTTGACGTACTATCACTTCTAAATAAACTATACTCATCAATAGCATAAATATCATTATTATCAGAATGAGCATATCTTGTATCTGCAAAAATACTGACATCAGTACAGGAATAGTTCAAGTACTTACTACATCATAAATATGTTTATGGAGAGACTGTGCATTCAAAAAACACAATTTAAATGATTTTTGATCA